ATATATATATATATACATATGTATAAAATTTATACACATGGTATATTCTTTTATTTTCCAGACAGAATTTACCAAGAAAAAAATTAAGAAAAAATACGTATATTTGTAAGAAAAAAATTCTCACAAGAATTCAGGATAGCAGATGGATGATGGATTGATTGATCAAGCATATATCATGACAATGATGATGATGATGATAATGATAATACATAAAGAATAAATAACCAACTCTCATCAAAACAAACTCCTCTTCTGTGTCTTCCACCAAAACTGTCTCAGTCCAGTGAGAGTTGACGTATATGTGGCTGTTTTGAAGCCTTACTCATTTCCATTCATGTTTTCTTTGCTGCCTTTTTTTTTTTTTTTTTTTTTTTTTTCCTCCTTTTTTTTTTTTTTTTTTTTTTTTTTGCACGCGCTGTTCGCGCTCCGTTGCGTGCGCGCTTGTCTGTGCGCCTTATACGGCTTTTAAGCATAAGAAAAGCCGTGAGTCACCCGCCGGAGGCACAAAAAAATCCTTTTCCTTACCCTCCGCACTTCCCCAAAGGGTAAATTAGGTACGTCTCTCCGAGCCGTCATCCGTCCGGGCCTCTTGCTCATAATCTTGCTCATAATGAGGTGTGGAGCTATTCACACCGCCGTTCTCCAGAGACCCATGTGTGCGTATTTCGGTAACAGGCGTCACTCAGGAGTGCTGACAACAAAGAGGAGAACTCGCTAAAAGGGCAAAGAAAAGGCAAAATAGACTTACATGCATTTCACTTTTTAACATTCTTAACTGTCATAGGTGTAATAACATGTTCCCTATTCACTTTGTCACTTTAGTCGTATGGCACGAAGCAGCTGGGACAGACAGCTTTCAGACACAGTTCCTCCATGCAGGGGCGTGGGGGGGCTCCAGCACCCCTCGCGACTCTTGTGAGGATAAAACGGATCAGAAAATGGATGGATGGATGGATGGACTATCTTAGGTAGTAAAAATGTCATTCATGTGTGTTAGCTTAGCCCGTTGCTGTGCTTTAGCTTTGGATGCTGCAGTATTTTACTCCACAGTCTTTCACTTTGTTCTTGCGTCAGTGGCGTACAAAGTTATTTTTTCTAATTTTAGCAAGCTAATTTTCTGTAAAATTGTGTCCCCCATGGCCTCGTTTCATTTGTGAAATTGTGATTCATTTTCCCTAATGGCTTATTGGGCAGTTACATCAGACCCCGATGAATTCGGCCTAGCGACAAGCGGCAGAAGCCGAGCTATTCCGGAAATCTACGCCACTGCATCTGCCAGATAGCTGAATGCCGTTTTATATTTTAAATATCTACTTTGTGTGAATTTTTTTTTTGTTGTTGTCTAACTTTCCTCCTTGTTATCACAAAGATGCTGTTTGTGTGTCTTGAACAGCAACAAGAGTCCCACCGCAGCTGTATGGGTTACGCACGTTGATTTATTATGCATGGGAATGTGCTGAGTCAGGGCAACTCTCTGGAAGATGGGGGAAACAAGAACGAGAGTAAGATAAATGTCATTTTGAAGTACGTCAGACCGAAAAGATGATTTTCTTTTACCCCACCGTTAAATCATTTTTAGACACAGAGGGTTTGTCTTCTCAGGCACGTTTAACCGTGGCGTCTCTATATGCTATTAATCTACAGGACTTATTTTACTACTCTGTGATGACTAGATCATGACTCATCATCCCTTGTTGTCTTATTTGGTTGTTTCGCTAAAAGTTGGTCATCCATGACCTCAAAGCCAAGATTGTAAGGTTGGATCCTGACCCTGACTGTATGTGGTTATGTGCACAGTTTTTGTTTCTGTTTTCATTCAGCTACTAATTGAGACACTAACTGTGTGCTTTCTCTTCTGTTTTCTTCTTTCCCTTAGTGCCGGCTCCCTTCCTTGCCTTTTCTTCCGCTGAATCCTCGGTGGCATCGTCCCCCCAGGTCAGAAAAGCACATCTCCTGCCCCGGGAGACGGGAGACTTGAGAAAACGAGAGTGACGGCAGACATCCAGACGCAACACAAGCAGGGCGAGAGTGAGAAAAGGGCAGTGGGCCATCTGTGCTCGGTCCCCTGCTATTTTGCAGCTGCGTCAGAGTCAGCAAGTACTTCTCAGCTGCCTTGGGAAGAGGAGATAAAGGATTTCTTCCAGCGTTTCATCGCACAAGCACGAGCCAAGTCCTGAGCCATGCTGAAGCCTTGCTGGCAGCGGATGAGGCCCGTGGGGGCTACTTCTGTGGAGGGAAGGGTGATAGCCCAGTTGGATGTTCCCTTTGTCGCCGTCCTGCCTGGATGTCATTAGTGGATAACGAGCTGCCGCAAGAGAGGAAGTGGAGGAGCAGCCTGTGGAGCCAGGAGGAAGAACCTTGCAGCTGTTGTTAAGAGGCCCTGAGATCTTGTGTCTCTCCTTTGCAACGGGACTTTCTGAAGGATTCAATGCAAAAGAATCTGTGAAACATCTGTGAAATTTTGACAAGACGTTTAATTTTTCCTGGAAGATGATGCTACTATGATTTTTTTTTTTTTTTTTTGGTATATGTCATTAGTGGATAACGAGCTGCCGCAAGAGAGGAAGTGGAGGAGCAGCCTGTGGAGCCAGGAGGAAGAACCTTGCAGCTGTTGTTAAGAGGCCCTGAGATCTTGTGTCTCTCCTTTGCAACGGGACTTTCTGAAGGATTCAATGCAAAAGAATCTGTGAAACATCTGTGAAATTTTGACAAGACGTTTAATTTTTCCTGGAAGATGATGCTACTATGATTTTTTTTTTTTTTTTTGGTATGATCTATGCCCTGACGGATTAGTTTGGTGACATTGGTCACCATGGCAGCAGCCTACCGTGTGGTGGTGAGCAGTGTGAGCTGCTACAACAGCGTGGTAGTGGACCGGCGCACCCACTCTCACGCTGTGCACTATTGTTCGGGCCCGTGTAGAGCGCTCTCCCAGGGGCTGGAATGTTCTGTGGCCCATCACGGCACCTGCTCCGAGCTGCTGGCCACACCGGACTCGCCCTACCCCGACCTGAATGGCCTGTCCGGACACTCCAGGTGCATGACAACCCAACAGATTCCTCACCACGGTAAAACGAATGGCACCATTGACACGGGTTATAACTGCGGTGCTCTGGAGAGGGCAGGGAGCAATGGTAATTTGTTTATTGGGGAAGAGAGCAACATGTGGCGGGGAAAGAAGATCCTCACTGGCGGAGGGTCAACGGGTAACCTGAGCTGCGGTACCTACGGTAGCCTCAAAGACATCACCGAAGAGGCCATCAATCTGGCCAGCGGGAAGCTCAAAGAGTTTTCCTTCGACAAGCTTCGGCTCTCCTCCTCCAGCCATGTCACCTTCCGGAAAGGCCGCAAGGTCCGTCCTGACTCGTTCAGCCGTCGCTCCACCGATCTGGAGATTATCTACGGCCATTTCGGCTCCAACGTCTCCAGTAACGGCACGACAAGCAGCATCGCCACTGTCCCCAATGATGAGAACGCCCCACCGCTTTTTGAGACGAAACAGAAGGGCAGTTCCAGCTCCCCGTCGGCTATTACGAAAGTAAATGGTTCAAGCGGCAGCGGGTCACTGGACCAAAGTATGAACACTCTGGCCTCCCTTTATCGCAACACTCTAGGGGACGAGAACCTGATTGCTCGTCTGCTGGAGAAAACTTGGGGAGAGGCAGCTGCCGGGGGTGCCGGAGGGGAGGACATCCGCGCCTGCCTCGACATCCTGCTCAAATGCTCAGAAGACCTGAAGAAATGCACCGACATCATCAAGCAGTGCATCCGACGCAAGGGCGGCGGAGGACCGCAGGACGGAGGGGCCAGTCCCGACAGCGTGTACCGAGCCTTGATGACCAGACTGAGCATGTATCTAAAGAGACTACCTCTGGAGCTGGAAGGGCTCGGAAACGGCGGGCAGGGTGGACAGGGCACGCCCGGGAGTGGACATGGCGATCTGATGGAACTGGTCAACAGTCTCCACTCGCTCCAACAAACGCCCTTCTCACCGATATTTGGCAGTGAGCAGCCTCCTCGTTATGAAGACGTGGTGCAGTCGCCTCCCAACCCAAAGATGACTCCTAATTCTGCGTCATCCACTCCTCACATATCCGTCCAGAGCGCCCCATCCAAAGCCCTCACCAATGGACTACAGCATTTGCAACCTCCATCATCCATCACGCATCACAATCTATCTCCCTCTCCTGTTACGAGTTCCCCTTCCAATCGGTCTCCGACAAACTCTCCGTCCCGTCTTCGAGTCTCCCCTACCCCTCCGTACAGCCACACCCCTCCAGCGTCCCCCATGGAGGCACTGTACATTGAGGAGGAAGATGTAGACACGGGTAAGATGTCTGAACAGATCACTCAAAATACATCCCAGAACAAAGACTTATCAAGTAAATCTGTGCATATATCTCAATCAGACTCTACCAGCATTGTCTTCAACTCGACGAGACCTTCTCCCAACACCCTGGCGCACAGAAACGATGACATTGACAAACTGCTCATGGATCTGGAGAATCTGTCTCAGAGTATGAGCAACCACAGAAATACTGAGCCTCCACTTCCGGTCAAGACCCGCAAGCGAGGAGGCAGCGGTCTGGTGATTGCGTCCACCGAAGCGCAGACTCAACCCAAAATGTCCCAGTTCCAAGTCACAACCCCTGCGAGCCACCTAGCCATGAACGGCACCAGTTCCAAAGCCCCTCAGGGAGAAAACCGCAATGCTGTAGCTGGTGAGGAGCAGGAAGACGGCGCGTTGCTGTTGCGAATCTTGGAGAGCATTGAGAGTTTTGCCCAGGAGCTGGTGGACTCGGGGGCAGGGAGCTCTGGGAGCTCTGAGAGGAACAGCGGGAAGGAACGGGAGGTGATGAAGCTCCTTCAAGGCACGCTGGCCTCCACTGGTAGGCCTGACACCCCCGTTGTGAGTTCGACTGGACAAAATGCACCGGCAGCCTGTTCAACGGAAACCGTTCCGGCAGTAACTGTTCCGGCCATACCGCCAAAGCTCTCTGCCCGAACACCTTCGGCGACAGCGGCTCTCGCGCAAAAAACTGCAGCTGAAGAGGTATGCACGGCTACATCGGCGCTTCTGCCTACACCTGAGGTTGCTTCCGCATCTGTGCCTACACCCGCGACACCGGAAGCAAAAGACGGCCTTTCCGAAGCCCCTCCGATCCATCCCAAAGCCACCCCTGCAACAGTCAGCTTGCATTCCCTTGCGCATCCTGCCCAGCTAGGGAATGACGCTGCTCCCAAAGTGCCGCCCGCCAGGTCCAGTCCACCTGTGGTAGCGGGAAGAGATCTGGCTGTTACCATCAGGGACATTCCGGTTCTGAGAGACACGGGTTCTACCCTGCTCATCCAGCAGACTCCTGAAGTGATCAGGGTAGGCTCCATTCCTTTGTTTTCCTTGCTCGGTTTGCCGTCTCTATCCGTTATAACTTTTTGGGAGAAAAGGGCATAATCTTAAGAAATTAAATTTGTTTGGTTTTTTGGGGGAAAAAATATCTTTTTTTTGAGAGCAAAAATAATTACATGCCCATAATTATAAATGATTTTCATTGAATGTGAGCCGCAATAGCATAGCACGGGCATGCAAATGTCTACAAATAGGATCTTTGCAACAGTGCCGCTGTTCTTCATTTGCCTGATAAACATGTCAAGTTGAAATAGCCTGCAGGGCTTGTTTTTTTTCTTTAGTTTTTTTTTTTTTTTTTACGATGGCTATGGCACAACAGGATCGTTGACTATAAGTGATAGTTTGTAATGAATGGCGGCCGTAAACGGCCGTGCAGCCCGTCTGCGCTTTGGCTCACTCAACAGAATGAGTGTGAGGGGTGCCTTGAAATATAAATTTTGGGGGGGGGGACAGGGGATGAAGCCATCCTATTTATTTGTTTAGTTAAAAAAAATCTGGTCACCGCACTGTGCCGCCTCATGTCCTGTTGATTTGAAAAGCGCCTATTTTTGAGGTTGCCATGGTTACCGAGAGCCAGAACTCAGCAATAACAGTACCTGAGCACGTCATTAGAGAAAACCGATTCCTTTCCCATTCTGATCATAAGAGAACCCGTTCCAGGACTCTCGGCTTGGGGCTTTTACTTGTGAAACAATTGTAGAAATACTGGAAATGGGCTCTTAGAATTGTTTCTTGAACAAATAGAATTGGAAAAGCTTGTTTCGATCCTAAAATATTGATTTAATAAGGTCAACTATGTCATGTCAAATGTATATCTTGATAACGTAAATCCTCAAGCTGATGCTGCCTCACACTTTGGAATCGATTGTCCTTTGGCCTGACTGTGACTGAGCAGGGACCAGTCCAGGGTGCGTCCCGTGTCCCTCGTTCACCTCCAGTCAAGGAGTCAGCCTGCAATGAGCCAACACTTCATCGCAGCCATTGGCCCGCGCTCTTCCAGTATTTTGGGCACGTTGAGTAACTCTTGTTGCCGTGTGGGGGTTGGGGGGGTGTTGGTGAAAAAAATGCGGCAGCTTCGCGGGCAGTTGTCTGTTGGCACCACCGATAGTGTTAACTGTGTGCTTAGCCTCCCCCCCTAGTGGGCGGATGCAAGGGGGGGGGCACCTAAATCTGTCACCCCCACCACCCCCCGCGTACTATGGCATCCCGCTAACAGACTCGCTGTCGCCTCAGTGTAAATGGACCTACGCGTGTGTGAATGTGCAGGGGTTTTTTTTTCCCCCCCGCCCCTTTTGTTACCATGCATGTTGTCGAGTCCTGTTCTGTTAAAATTAAAAACACGCATTTGAATTGTAGCTTCTCTGTGCATATAGTTGCTCCACTCTGGTTAGATCATTGCTTTTAGATATGATATGTTGTTTTCCCGGCTGAGCCGAATTGAAGTGAAATGACTGAATGAGGTCATTGCGCAATCTTAAAGCAAGACAGACATTTTCTTTGCAATAATGTCGTACGTGACCCCATGAATGTAAACTATAAACTATGATATCATTCTGCTTCGTATTTGGTTTGTGCAATAGGAATTTATCCGTATTCATCAATCTGAGGAGGCGGCGCCATTTAGTCGTGTACCTCATCTGATGTCACCGTGCCCTCGAGCTCGCATTGCAAACGTCACATCTCACCTGCTTTCCGGGTATCTTCTGGTCACATGACATTCGCAATCCGAACCCGAAGGCACTTTGCCTTCAATTTCATGGATACAAGGACATCAAACTTGAAATGATCGACCTGCAACCAGCTGAAAAAGTGGACCAGAAATGCGGTCGTCTTCTGTGTCGCATCATCATTTTTATCGTGTGTGTGGAACATGCAGTCAGCTATCAACTCGAATTAAAAAGGATGACAGTGGACACCTGTATACTCGCAGTTCCGCATGGAAGGATTAGCATATATGCCATTTTTTTCTCAATTTTTTGGTTTTTATTTATATTTCTTTCCGATTTTGTTGTTTTATCAGCATTTTTGGAAGATTGTGGGGTGGGGGGGTGATGAATGTTGCCTTCAATGTTGATGTTTGACATCGGTGCTTGTGACGCGTGTTTTGAGCGACTTCTCCAAAAAAATGTTCATCATCTTGAAATTTAGAATTCCATTCAAAAAAAAAACAACTTTGTGGTTTAAAAACAAATTTAAATGAAAGACTCATTATTTCCTCGTAATTTGTAGCATTGAAGCATCCAATTTCTCCTTAGTACCGCGATGCGATCAAGCAAAGCTGCGCTACTGGATGTCACAGCCAGATTTTAATGAAGAGCATCCCTGACACCCAAGAGCAACTGTGGGAATTATATTAATATTCCTCTCGGCCCCGCTCGCACATTAAAGTGTCTGTCGAGCTGCAAACAAAGCTCAGACGGAATGTTGTGTGCACTTAATAGGCCACTTTTTAACCGCACGGGACTAGAGCCTGCCGCGGTGTCGTGGTCCTCACTTAGCGCTGAGCTCCACCTGTCAAATGGCAGCCACATGCGACGTAAAATTCGAGGCGGGCTCGTCTGCCGGCCCACCTCGGCGGGAGATCGTAAGCGGAGTCGTCGAAATCCGTGTCGCTATGTGCCCGCGTTTCACATTCGTGCTTTATAGGAGGGAATCGAAGAAGAGGGCTTTTAACAGCGTAGTGGTTCACATAGCTGATTTAAGTGCGGCCCTGTTGGCTGTGACCCTGAATTGGATTAGCATACGGGGAAATGGATGCACGGAGGGCATATGTCCAGATTTAAGATCGGATATATAGTGGCGCCTGTGCGTTTCAACGCAGGCAAAAGTGATGTAAGATTAGCTCCAGCCTCAGCTGACGTTCTGATGGCTTCAATTCCAGCTCCGGCCTCCCTGTGTGGAGTTTGCATGTTCTCCCCGGGCACGCGCGGGTTTTCTCCGGGTACTCCGGTTTCCTCCCACATTCCAAAAACATGCATGACAGGCTGATTGAACACTCCAAATTGTCCCGAGGTGTGAGTGTGAGCGTGGATGGCTGTTTGTCTCTGTGTGCCCTGCGATTGGCAGGCAACCGGTTCAGGGTGTCCCCTGCCTACTGCCCGAAGACGGCTGGGATAGGCTCCAGCACCCCCCGCGCAACCATTTGTGAGGATAAAGCGGATCAGAAAATGGATGGATGGCTATAAATGAATAATTATTTTATTTATTTGATTTGATATATTTTTTAGACCGCCAACCACCAGGGGGCGAACGCATGGTTTAGCCTTCATTAAGCTGCCAAAATAACAAGCAAAGGCACTTGCTTGTCATTTAGGGCAGCTTACTGTTTAGCTAACATAATGAATAATTATAAAAGTTGTGATTAAAATATTGATCAAAATAATTGTGATGATCGTTTTGACCATAACTGCGTAAAAATGTTTGCTTATTTGTTACTCTGCAAATGATATCAACGACAACTCCGTACAGCTAAATCGCGAAGATGCACATGAACATTTTAAAAATAAATACATTCGATAATACAATACATTCAACACACTTGATCATGCTGTGGCTAATCAATAATAAGAAATATCAAATATCTGTGAGTGATAGGACGCTAAAAGACATTTGACCATTTTCCAGCTTCTCTTTTTCCATCCCGTCCGTTTTATCCTGCCAGTCAACTGTTGACAGCTCAGAGAGAAGCCCGCTGCGTTTTGGCACAAAGGATTTCTTGGGAAGGGGATGAAAGGGGAGCTTAGGAAAAGTATGCAGATGCGAAGGTAATAACTGTCTGTCAGAGAGAACACGAGGAGAGGATTTGCACAAAAACACTTTAAACACGCGGAGGGACAAGTTGAGGGTGGGGGGAGGCGAGGATATTAACGGGTGGGGTCGACGCAGATTCCGGGGGCGGGGGGGCTTTCCAGTACTATACAGTTGTTGACTCTGCTTCGCTGGAGAATGACATCACTCCTCCTACAGGAAATAAGGTCACAGCAGGAACGCGTGCCAAGTGGGGGAAGACGCTTGTTTAGACTTCATGCGCAAGTAAAGGTCCAACAAAAGTGCTTTGAAACGGGCTTTCCCTATCTATCTATTTATATCTATATATAGATGTAAAAAAATTAAAAAAATACCCACAAGGACAAAGGAAACCTGACCTCCTGCCTCTTTTCCAATATGGGTCACACTATCCAAAGTGGAGGTGAAACACTTGGCAGCGAACGCTCCGCTCATATTGGTAGCCGTTAAGCCGCTGACATCATCGCCCGGACCGCCGCTCCCACTGCAGCCCGGGACGTCCTCCAGACGGCTGTTCCCACTTTAGCGTCAAACTTTTTTTTTTTTTTCTTCTTTAAAGCGAGTCACCTTTTCATCTGGAAGCTTTTAACTCGGCTGGAGGCTGTGTCACCATGGCAACCAGCAAAACATGTTTTGGAGCATCCGAGGTCGGGGGTGAGGCTAAACGGGACTCCCCCACTCCACAGTGATGGCAGGATGGCGGGACTCCCTCCGAAGAGCACGGAGGGGGGCTGTTTTGGGAAAGGGGTGGTGCTCAATCATATTTTACGATCCCCCCCACAATGAAGAAGCATAACAAGCAAGGTTATGGTTATACAACCAAAATATTTGAGCTGATTTGCATTTGGCTGTCCTTTTCCACCGTGTTACAGCCTGTCTTGCTTGTGACTCACTCGTCAATGAAATCGCAAGCCATATTCATGGATACTAAACACGAACATAAAAACAAGAAAGACTCAAATAAAATATTAAAAAAAAAAAAAGTTACAAATACCACAGGTGGCATGTGGGCCCCCTCTAGTGGTATGCCATAGATCACTGAATTAAATGTTCAACTTTTTTTTTCTGATCCAGTGCAGCACATTTACCAAGCACAGTTCTGTTGTATTTAACTTTGTGGTTGAATACAACAGAACTGTAATTAGCATTGACTAATTCCTCTTTCTTTTTTTTTCAAACAT